TGGAACTTTCAGAGCATATATAGCATATATATATAGATATATACACACACACAAACTAATTTTGCAGACCCTATCCCTCCGTAGTCTTTCAAGTAGGAGGAGAAATGCCAGCGTTCTCCTCCGGTTTACAGGCACTGTGTAAATTATATATATAGAATAATTATGATGATGAATGCATTTTTTTACCACTAAAATACAGCAACACATCTTTGATTCATGTCGTTTATAACTGGAATATTACAGTTATTATTAACTTTGTCTGTACAAAGTAGCCTGTCCAGGAAATATGCCCAAATCAACAAAAACTGCGAGCCGGCAGGCAAGACGCTCCGCTTCTGAAATGCTTCTGAAACGCGCCTGGTAGAGTATGACGCCGGAGGAGGCCGGACCAAAACCGCAACGCGGCGCAGACGGACCCGGTGGAATCTAGGGGTTACACTTACACTGTAACGGACCGTCTCCACAGCAGCGTTAAAAAAATCTTGGAGGTGGGCGTATCTGAGGCTTGGGGATTTTTTTGCGATCAACCAATCACATGAATCTCCCGCCCGCGACATACGAAGCCAAAAAGCCCGAAGTAAACTGGATATAAACTCCCCAAAACAGGCGAAAACATACCACTGTCTCTGCCACCTCCCTCCATGCCTGGCTCCTCCGGTTTATATCCCGGTAGGTAAATAGGGTCTGGTCATAAAGCACCGGGTGATTGATTCGCTACCGCTAATTTCTCCTCCATTTTTTGGAATATGAGGAAATGACCTGCGGTATGTCTCTCCCAGCATACACGCCGTTTGATTGGCTAGAGCTTGAACTGCCAGATTTGCGTACACGGGATTTGATTGGCTGCCGCTTCCACCTCAGCTTCAAAAGTTGAACATTGTTCAACTTTGAATCTTGAAAATCCTGAGAATCTCCGCTCGCCTGCCCACAATGCATTTCGGCGAAAAGTGAGGGAAAGTGACGTCACCCCATTCAAAGTGAATGGGCAGAAGCGTTTCAAGATTTTTTAACGCTGCTGTGGAGACGGCCCGTAAGGATTAGTAACATGTATTGTGTTTATGTGATGACATTTGGAGATGTTTAAACTCAATGAGAAAATGCGTTAGCATTCGCGCTAGCATTAGCATTCGCGCTAGCGTTAGCATACACGCTAGCGTTAGCCATACTAGCCTGTACACCTATGCTGTACACATGCTTATTGAACAGCTAGTGTAAATAACCCCATTTGTGTTCTGTGAGACTGAAGGGGATGTCGCATTGTTTTTGTTGCTTTCGTTGCAGTTTAAATACGTCTTAAATGTAATTTAGGTTAACTTCCTTTTTCATTTAGATGCTTTTATTTTGAAGGCCAGTTAACGCTGTTGACAGGAAGTTGTTGTTGCTATGGAAACAACATGACTGCGAAAAGAAATATCTTCTCTAAAGACGGAGAAAGTAAAGAATAAAGTATATGTTTAAATGTTAGCACCCCCCGAAGAGGCACAAGGTTGGTATTTACTATAATATAAAATTGTAGGTTGTGTCCTAATTCGTTTATAAGCTGTTTTGTAGCTTTGCTGTCTGTAGTGTTTATAGTTAACTTTTGGTAGTATGCCAAAGTGATTCTAATACGGATTGAGCCTAAATGTATTTGTTATTTTTGTGTCTTTATAGCTCTTACGTTGACTCTGGAGTTTCAATAAATTCTAAATCATCAGTAAAGTCTACGACCATATTTCGGAGGGATATGCTACAGCTAGCATTAGCTATATTTACCTTGTTTACACTTAGCGGTCCTAAGTGTTAATCTGTGTATGTTACACTTGCATGTATGAGATCATTAAGTGCCTTGTAACTTCTTTTTGTATAGTTTCACTCCGTTTGAATGTCAGTGGACTGCAAATAATTAAATAAACGAGCATGGCTGCTCATTCCCTGGCTCTCAAAAGAGTTTGGCTGGCTGTTTAATCTATGTTCACACTGAGACAGTACAACACAGAGAGAACAGTACACCTATTGTGTAAAGCAGGTCACACAGTATGATCACAAATACATAAACTCTGTTAAAAATCAGTTTTTATTAAGAAGTATTCAGGCTGCATATGTGTTCTCAGCCTTGGAGAAACTTGACATGTTTTGGTATGTGTCTGAACCTCTCTTTAGTGGTTTAATAAAACATATATTTCAACATGTGCCTACTTTGTTCATGTGCTGTTGAGGTTCATTTCAGTAGTTGTGTGCTATAATGTATTTACAAAGTGTGAAGAGGAGGCAACTTTAGAATAGGGAACCTGTTCAGGTCAATTTGAGTCAAACTACTAGCTTATTGGTTATGAACAAGACTTCACTTTAAAATAGGGAACATGTTCTTCTGTGGAGGCGTGTGGTGCAGTGAGTTGTGTGTAGGTTCGGTCACAGGTTCAAACCCCACTGCAGTCAGCATGTCGTTGTGTCCCTGAGACACTTCACCCCAAATTGCTCCTGTGGGGATTGCCCACAGTACTGAGTATGTAAGTCGCTTTGGAGAAAAGCGTCCAACAAGTAACATGTAATGTAATGTAATTCTTCGATAGAAATACCTAATTTTGAGTTATTTAGACTTAATTAACACTTATAGTTTCATGTCTTGTTACATAAGGATATATCATATTTGTTAAGTGTTATTATGGGAGAATTACTATTCTTGTGGTACTACTGCCTTATTAGGCCCACATTGAGCATATTAAGACCAAACAACTTCCTTACTTGCAATAAGCACCAATTAGAGGGTTATTGAGGAAAAACTCTCAGCTAATGGCTTATTACTTGTAGAATATGGTCATGTAGAATAAGGCATTAATAAGTGTTTTATAATGACTAATAAAGAGCCAATATACTGCTAATAAGCATGTTAATTAACAACTAGTTGATGGCGAATTGGTGCACCTTAATATAAAGTGTTAACAAAAGTTCTTATTGCAGCTCAAATGTAGCTAACAGTGCTCTGAGCAGCTTCAGGCTTTGTTTTCAAGGCTGTAAACCAGTCAAGGAATGAATATTTAAACTGGCTTCCTGTTGGATCAACCTGACTTCCTTTTAAAGTATACTCTCTCAGAACCAGTACAATGTCCTCTCACATAAACTGCCATAAGCTCTCAAAAACACAAGCATTGTCTTTCACATACACTATCATTCTCTGTCACACACACACTACTATACCCTCATACATACTACAATCCCTCTCTCACATACACTATCATTCTCTCACACACACACACTACTATACCCTCATACATACTACAATTCCTCTCTCACAAACACTATCATTCTTTCTCACACACAAAGTTTTCTATCTTGCATACACTACTAGAGTATTATATTGTAGTATAATGTTGTCTGTAAGTGGGAATAATAGTGTATCTAAGAAAGTACAGTTTGGTATGTAAGTAAGTTTGATTTATGGCCCAGACAAAAGTGTGTGAAAGAGAGTATGATTGTGCGTGAAAAAGTGTTTAGCTATATGTATAAAAGAGTTTAATGGTGTATGTGTGAGATTCTGATATTGTTTGTAAGACCAAGTATGAGTTGTGAGCTAGACGGCCTCATAGAGAGCAGCTCACACACACACACACACACACACACACACACACACACACACACACACACACACACACACACACACACACACACACACACACACACACACACACACACACACACACACACACACACACACACACACACACACATACACACTTCAGGGGACATTACATTGACTTGCATGCATTTCCTGAAGACTTATCCTAACCTCAACCATAACATGCCTAACCCTAACCAAGTCTTCACCCTACAATTAATGATGTCCCCATAAGGGAGGCCAGTCCCTACACGTGACTGTGTAAACAGATGTAGGTCCCCACAAGGATAGTAATGCTAGGTCACACACACACACACCCACCCACCCACCCACCCACCCACACACACACACACACACACACACACGCACACACACACACACACACACACACACACACACACACACACACACACACACACACACACACACACACACATACACACACACACACACACACACACACTAATACTTTGTATATCATTATAATTATTAATGATTTATGTATTTGTATTATTATAATGTTTTATTATTATATTAACTAGTGGTATTTAAATGAACATTTTGCAAGTTCCACATTTAAAACCTTGACTAGATTTTTTTATATTTATAACTTATTTTTGCAACTCCTAACAAGACTTTTACTCTGTAGTTTTTCTACTTTAATCCCTAATAAATTCACATGTATTATTAACCCCCTGTAGTACCAGTCATCTCCACAGGGGGCACCAGAGAGCAGCTCAGATATTCACTGCCTCTGTGGTACACACTAAATATTGCAGTACTTTGTATTTATTGTTGATGCTGCAATAAAACACACGCACACACACACACACACACACACACACACACACACACACACACACACACACACACACACACACACACACACACACACACACACACACACACACACACACACACACACACACACACTTACTCTCGTGTGAAGGTTCGAGTGACAGGTGAGCGGACAGGGGGCGGGACTTCCTGCCAGTCCTGCTGCAGAGGGAGGTCCAGAGGAGCCGGCTTCACTGGAAATTACAGGTGTAAACGGGTCAAATAGTTCTCAAAATAAGACATTAATTAACCTTATAATAAGTAATCTGCTCCTGCTCTTTGTATGACTGTTCTGAAAAGTTATTTGTTAAAAAAAAGCATAGAAGACATGAGCTAATTAAATACTAATGAGGCATTTTTTGAAAATAAAACCTCTTTAAACAAAATGCAATCTGCAGTGAAGCTGTTACTAATATTGAATGCAAATTTAATAAACTACATCACTGTGTATGTGTGAGAGTGTGTGAGAGTGTGAGAGTGTGTGAGAGTGTGTGTGACTGTGTGAGAGTGTGTGAGAGTGTGTGAGGGTGTGTGAGAGTGTGTGAGAGTGTGTGACAGTGTGTGAGAGTGTGTGTGACTGTGTGAGAGTGTGTGAGTGTGTGACTGTGTGAGAGTGTGACAGTCCGTGAGTGAGAGCGTGTGGGAGTGTGTGTGTGTGTGTGTGTGTGTGTGTGTGTGTGTGTGTGTGTGTGTGTGAGTGTTTGACAGTCCGTGAGTGAGAGTGTGTGAGAGTCACTGAGAGTGTGACAGTGTTTGTGAGTGTGTGTGAGTGTGTGTGTGTGAGAGTGTGAGAGTGTGACAGTGTTTGTGAGTGTGTGTGAGTGTGTGTGTGAGAGAGTGTGACAGTGTGTGTGAGAGTGTGCGAGAGTGTGTGTTTGTGAGAGTGTGCTGCAGCCGTGTTGAGCAAAGTGGAAGCAGGTAAATAATTCAAACTAAAAGAGGCCGGAGAGAGGTGGGAAATGTTAATGTCTAGAATAAAATCTCATAATAAAGATGTTTCTGTACCTCTGGTTCTGTGTCGGGGCTCTGCAGCAGACTGACTGTCCGTCCTCTCTGCAGACTGACTGTCCGTCCTCTCTGCAGACTGACTCACTCCTGCAGGGGTTCACAACATAAAGAAGCAGAAAACCATCAAACAGGATTCACTATACAGCAGATGCATGAATGGGAAGGCTGCTGTTTACTTTTTATGCAACAACAGTCTCTCCGTAAAGTGGTGATTCCTTTCATTCAATTTCTTTCAAATAACACCATAATAAAATACTCACCTCTGCGCTGTGGTTTCAGGTTGCGGTGGATGGGGGGGGGCACGGCCTCTCCTCCCGCGGTGGTGTTCCTCCGGAGGGGGGGAGTGAGGGGGGTGAGGGGGGAGAGGGGGGAGAGGGGGGAGTTTCTGAAGCCCAGGTGAGCCGGGGGGGGCACCTGTCGGCCCAGAGACGCCAGCTCACCTGAGGCAGGAGGGGGAGAAAGAGGGAGGGACGGGGGGAGGGGGGTCATCGGGACGTAGTTAGTGTCCTGGAGGGGGGGGGAGTCGGAGCGAGGAGGGGGAGGCGCCCTGCAACAGGAGGAGAGGAGGTGAGACATCAGCGGGACTTTTTATAATTTATAATGAGATTTCTCTTTGCATTTTTGGGACTTTTTCCATAATTTTGGGGGGATTTTTCAGATTTTTACAAATACTATAGAATGTTATTTATTTCATTTTTACATTTATTTTTCATGATTTTCTTCCACACAGAGTTTTGGGTTATTTTTCTGAATTATTCAATTATTTAGGGATTTGTTTTTCAGATTTCTTTCAGACTTTTTTCACATGTTATCAGAAATGAATCTAATATTTTGGGAAATGTTTTTAACACATTCTTTTGGCAATTTTTCTTATTTATTCAAACATTTTAAGGATATTTTGAATGGACTTTTTACATTTATTTTTATGATTTCCAGACATTGCCCACATCTTTTTTCAAATTATTCACATTTTTTTGGGACATTTTCTTATACATCTTTTGGGGTATTTTTTGAATACATTTTTCCGCATATTTAAAAAGATGATCCACATATTTTTGGGACTTTTTTAATACAATTTATCGGGTATCTTTCTGAATGTATTCACATATTTTAGGATACCCATTACACAGTATTTTACTGCACAAATACACACATTTTGCAGAGCCTTATCCTTTTCTAATATGTTTTTCAGTCTTTTTACACATATTTTCTGAATTCTTTTTATACATTTTTGGGGTATTTCTTGACACTTTTTTGACTTTTTATGGTCATATTTCTCCCTCATATTTTTCTACTTATTTTACCAATATGTTTCGAATATTTTTCTAACATTTTTAGACGTATTTCTGCCTCACCTCGGTGCTACAGGAGGCTCAGTGGGGGCGGCGCTCATAGGAACATAATTCTCATCCACATCCTCGTCTTCAGAGCCCAGAGGCACCAGGCCTTTATTCATCTGAGGGATAGATAGCATGATTAAATATAAAATAATGAAAACAGAACTCATATGTTATTTTATTCTGGAGGTTTCCACTCACGAAGTAGCTGTTGAAGCACTCGCTGAACTCGAACATGCTCGCTCTGTCCGACAGAGACCCAGAGATCAGGTCTGAAACACAGAAGACAGGTCAATATTTAGGGAAAAAAAAACCTTTATTTATTTACCAAAATACCAAATAATTCCTCTAAATGTTGCATGATTAAAAATGCAAAATGATTTCTATATACAAGAACCACTCATGCATTTAAAATATCATTATCAGCTGAATTAGTCAAACTTTAAGACAAGAGGAAGGTCAGGAAACTGAGGAATGGTCTGTGTTTAAGGCTGGACAAAACAATCCTGCTGATAGAAACTGTAGGGGATTAAAGGTCTGGTTTTATTAAATTAATTAATTCAGATTATTTAATTATGCAAACAGGAACAGAGGGTTTATTGGAACAAACACTGCCAGTTCTGCACAATAAGACTCTTGTTTGGTGCCAGGTTTAAACTCTGCAGGGTCAGAGTGACACAGATTCTGATTCACATTGTTAATTAATCATTTAATACAACTCTCTGAAACAAGAGTGATATTTGTTAGAGCTAAACACAACATATAAGGTAGGTTTAATGTTTTTAAAGGTCACCTATCATGCTATTTTTAGGCAATAGCATAGGTCTCAGATATATAAAAATATATAAAAAACATGTATTTTAAGTGTTTTGCTCAAAATACCAAACAGATCACCCATTCTAGCCATATCCCTCTATTTCACTTCCTTTTTCAAAAGTGCTGATTTGGTGTATAAAGCTTTAAAAAAAAAAAGAAATTGATTAAAAAAAAAAAAGAGGGGGCTGAGCTCATGCGGGACCCGGCAGCTACTGTCTAAACTAAATACTGCCGTGATGAAACGCCATATCATGGATTATCAAGGATTGTTTCTGAAACAGTATGGAGCTCAAAGGCTTTCTCTCTTGCCGGTTATACCACAAGGTGAGTTCCTTTTCATTTCCTGCTTCTTCACACACATGCTCTCCAGTACAGGTTAGCTCTGAGTGTTAGCGATGCTAATGTAAACACCGACCATATTACGTCCAAAACAGTCGGGCATTGTTTCTGATAGCAACGTTTCTGGCGTCATATCGGCCGCAAATCTGGATCAGCTCCGTTGTAGCCCCGTTTTTAGAGATTTGGGAACGGAGGAAAAGAGAGAGGGTTTTATTTTCTGACGCTGCGTGAGTTCCCCGACACACCGGGGACACATATTTATGTAGAAAAGACATCAGAAAGTGCATTTTGAATGATAGGTCCCCTTTAAGACTTTTTAATGCACACAAAATGCATCCTACACCTTCCACTATTCATGTCGATGCTTGAAAACCCCCCGAAATATAAAATGAAATAAACTTTATTAATATATTTTCAAAGACAGGACATTTAACTTGTGTTTTACTAAATGTTTTATTTATTTTTAAATCGTTACCTTGACTAAAAAATATCTGGGATCATGTTCCGACTCAACTCAACTCAATATATAACGTAGGTTAAGTGTTTCTAGACTTTTTAATTCGTAAATAATGTATATTATACTATTAAATATTCATGCTGATGCTTGTGTTTTTTATTTAACTGTTTTAGAGGGTACATTTGACAAATATTACCTTTAAGTATTAATGAGGAAACTGCAAAAAACTGCAAACAAACATTTTCTATAATTTTGGGGAACGTAAGAGGTTTGGGCAAAGGGGATCCTTCCGCCTTAACCTTTTGTTTGTAAAAATGTGCATCTGCATGTTTGTGTCGTCTTGAGAAAATAGCTTGAGAAATGTATATGAAGTTGCTCACAATAAAACAAAATATCAACATTTTCTCACCAAAATAAAGGATTTAACGTTAATGAATCACTCCTCTCACCTGTGTGAGCTGGGTGTCTAATTTTATGGACTTTTTACATACATTTTTTATGATTATTTTCCAGAATTTATCAACATACTTTCTCAAATTATTCAAATATTTTTGGGATTCTTTTTTTTATAAATCTTTTGCGGTATTTTTCTGAATTTATTCAAATATTCTATGACATTTTTTACGTTAATGAATCACTCAGACCTTTTTCACATTTGACCAGAAATAGATTTAATATTTTTGGGAAATACATTTTTGTATGTTTTTTCAGATTTTTCCAAATATCTATCGACTTTTTACATTTATTTTTTACTATTATTATTTTCCAGAAATTATCAACATATTTTTCTCAAATTATTCACATATTTTTGGGACATTTTTTATGTGGTATTTTTCTGAATTTATTCAAATATAACATTTCTTTACGTTAATTAAATATGACTCCTCTCCTCTCACCTGTGTGATCAGTGATGGTGTTGCTCCTCGTCTCCTCTCCTCCTCCCTCCCTCCCTTCCTCCCTCCTCTCCCTCTCTCGGGGTAGTGTTGCTCTCCCTCTCCCCCAAGATGAGCTCTCTTCCTGGGCCGCGGCGCTCTGAGGTTTGGGCGGTCGTGGAGGGGGAGTCGGGGTCAAAGATTCAACGTTAGGGGAGGAAAAAGAGGGGAGACGAGGGATCTGATACCCACTATAGGAGAGAGTTTGGGGGAGAAAGAGGGAGTCACAGAGGGGGAGAATATCCACGGGTCGCAGGAGGAGATCTAGAGAGTGTTTCCGCGGGTGAGGAGACGGGTGACAGCGAAGTTTACGTCTCTGGAGCTCAGAGGTCACGAAGGGGGAGGAAGAGGAAGAGGAAGAGGGAGAGGAGGAGGAAGGGGGGAGGCCGTTAGGAAGCAGGGAGGGAGAGGAGGAAGAGGACGAGGAAGAGGAAGGGGGAGGGAAGTCGTCGGGTTCGAGAGACGTGGAGGAACCCAGAGGAGGCCTGAAGACAAAGAGAGGGAATATGTGTTATTATCGTCTTCTAAAACAAGTGACATTTGACCTTTTTAGAGAGATTTAGCAAAAAGAAACCACTTCTGGGGTCATTTGGGTGGATTTTCCATATCTCTGACCCCCCTTGCCCGATTTTGATGGTTGACACCTCTTTCTGACCATTAGAGCCAATATAATCAAAGGGAGAGTCCCCCACACACACACGTTGTGAAGAGAAAAGGTGCAGGCTTCGCGCATGTAATTTTCAATCAGAGTGAACCTATCTCTAGCTTTGACATCTGGAAACGGAAAAGCAGTTTTAATGCTTATGGATTATCAGAAATCATTTCAAAGGGACACAGACACATTAGATTAACCTATGGATTAACTTCAGCAGCGTTTTTATCGTTTTAATGCCATTGAAGACCACTTTGGAGAGACTACAGAGCCAAGGTAAAAATGTTAGCATTTTTAGCTACCTAGCGTCACCTGTTTTGATGTCCGTTTTTGCTTATAACGTCGCAAATACGTATAATTCAGTGGTAATGTCGGTGTCAAACGATTCTGTGTCACCTCACGATGTGAATCGATGTGTTGGATGTGGTGAAAAGATAAATAATAAGGTTTTGTGAGTGATTTTCGGTGCAGTAAGGTGTTAGCATTTTTCGCTCGTTGCTAATTCAGAGGCTCAGTGTTAGCATTGTGGGTTTTCTTTTGAAAAATAAATAAAAATGATCTGTTAGATGAGTTTCTTCCCGTTACATGGATATAAAACATTCATAGTTTTATTAAATGAACATGCCCTCAGAACATTTCCTGCAAGATGTTGCGGCAGTGCCCCGGTACCGGGATCTCTCGGGCTTCACAGGTTAAATCTTTCCTTCCATTCCTTCTTCTTTCCTTGTTCTTACCCATCACCGTGTGTGTGTGTGTGTGTGTGTGTGTGTGTGTGTGTGTGTGTGTGTGTGTGTGTGTACCTGGTGTGACACTGTGATAACCACTGATATTCTTCTTCTTTGTTTCCGTCGTGCTGCAGGTTCCTCACATTCACCGGGTCGTAGGGGGGCGGGACTAAACGCGTTACCGGGGTTACACAGGTGACGTTACGGAGGGGCGGAGTCATGGCAGCGATGGAGGCGGAGCCAGAGACGGCGGGTCTTTCTGGGACTGTGGGGAGGAAAAGTTATATGCAGTATGACACATTATCCCGCTTATTACACGACCAGATACTAAACAAACTAACGACTCGACTCCCAATATTAATTGAAATTACTTTATTGACTTAAAAATTATCTTATTTATTCCGCTTTTCTAAATACTCAGAGACATTTTGACAGAGAATAACACAAAAACGAAGAAAATGCGTAAAGAGACAAACAGAAACAGAAAAAGAGGGATCGTGTTATAATCAGGGTCGTGTTATATTGGGGTCAATACGGTGTTTAAATATGTATGTTTGTACCCTCTTCAGTGGGGTTGAACCCACACAGCAGGCAGATGCAGGACACCCAGCGGTTCATGTCCTCCTCGGACTCGGACACCAGGTACCAGACCCTCTCCTCCGTCCGCAGGTCGAACACGAAGCTGCTCTCCAGCTCCTTCTTGGTGAACGTCAGCCCGGCGTCTACCTGCAGGAACGCTCAGCTGTTCATCTGTGTCATTATACTTCTTTGTGCTCCAGTCAGTCCTCACAGTAAATACAGAGCTGAATCCAGATCAAATGCACGCTGAAGGCTCTTTGAGCAGGTTTTCTCTCACTGATTGTGCTGTTATGTTAAAAGTTTGTTGTTAGTTTTTCATGTATTGTGTCTTGATATTTGTCTGTTGATGTTACACATGGAGCAGCTGTGATACAAGTCACATTTCAGACTTGATCTGACCATTAAAGTATCATCGTATCATATCGGATCGTATTCTCCCTCCATTAATCACCCAGATTAGTCTCACCTGTGCCTCGTTAGCACAAAACAAACATCTTGTTGGATGTTAAAAGAATAAAATAAATACTAATAAAAGAAAATTGTGTTTGTTCTTGTTGGATTATATTAACAAAGACGTCATTTTGAAACTTTTAAGATAAAAATAATGATTTGAAAAAAAACAAATATACTCCAGTTTCCCCCATAATGCCACATAGCGGGTTCTCCACTGATTTCTAACAGTGTGTGAGTGTGTGTGTGTGTGTGTGTGTGTGTGTACCTGTTCACACAGGTGCAGGTTGATGGTTCTGATTGGCCGGCGGCTCTGCTGGTTCTTGTAGTACTGCAGGACATCGGGTTCTCCACTCAGCCTGCCGCTGCGCAGCACGAACCAACGCCGCTTCCACGCCTACACACACACACACACACACACACACACACACACACACACACACACACACACACACACACACACACACACACACACACACACACACGCACGCACACGCACACGCACACGCACACACACACACAGTTATTCAAGTTCACAGTGCACATGAATGTTAAAAAACCCACACACACACACCAATCACTACTTTCAGGCTGTTCCCATCATGCACTAAGCATTGTGGGTAGGGTCCATCTCCCATGGGCTATCCACAGGACGACACCTCATATTTCACACATGACTCACTGTTCACGTGTGTGTGTGTGTGTGTGTGTGTGTGTGTGTGTGTGTGTGTGTGTGTGTGTGTGTGTGTGTGTGTGTGTGTGTGTGTAATAAA